CCCGCACGCCCCCCCCCCCCCCCCCACATATACACACAGTCACATACACAGACACACAGACTCACATAAAGACATACATACACACACACCACACACACCACACACACCACACACCACACACACCACACACACCACACACACCACACACACCACACACACCACACACCACACACACCACACACACCACACACACCACACACACCACACACACCACACACACACACACACACACACACACACGACCCACACCACACACCACACACACCACACACACCACACACACCACACACACACACACACACACACACGACCCACACCACACACCACACACACCACACACACCACACACACCACACACCACACACACCACACACACCACACACACCACACACACCACACACACCACACACACCACACACCACACACACCACACACCACACACACCACACACACCACACACACCACACACACCACACACACCACACACACCACACACACCACACACACCACACACACCACACACACCACACACACCACACACACACACACACACACACACACGACCCACACCACACACCACACACACCACACACACCACACACACCACACACACACACACACACGACCCACACCACACACCACACACACCACACACCACACACACCACACACACCACACACACCACACACCACACACACCACACACACCACACACACCACACACACCACACACACCACACACACCACACACACCACACACCACACACACCACACACACCACACACCACACACACCACACACACCACACACACCACACACACCACACACACCACACACACCACACACACCACACACACCACACACACCACACACACCACACACACCACACACACCACACACACCACACACACCACACACACCACACACCACACACACCACACACACCACACACACCACACACACCACACACACCACACACACCACACACACACACACACACACACACACACACACACACGACCCACACCACACACCACACACACCACACACACCACACACACCACACACACACACACACACACACACACGACCCACACCACACACCACACACACCACACACACCACACACCACACACACCACACACACCACACACACCACACACACCACACACCACACACACCACACACACCACACACCACACACACACCACACACACCACACACACCACACACACCACACACACCACACACACCACACACACCACACACACCACACACACCACACACACCACACACACCACACACACCACACACACCACACACACCACACACACCACACACACACACACACACACACACACACACACGACCCACACCACACACCACACACACCACACACACCACACACACCACACACACCACACACACACACACACACGACCCACACCACACACCACACACACCACACACACCACACACACCACACACACCACACACCACACACACCACACACACCACACACACCACACACACCACACACACCACATACACCACACACACCACACACCACACACACCACACACACCACACACCACACACACCACACACACCACACACACCACACACACCACACACACCACACACACCACACACACCACACACACCACACACACCACACACACCACACACACCACACACACCACACACACCACACACACCACACACACCACACACACCACACACACCACACACCACACACACCACACACACCACACACACCACACACACCACACACACCACACACACCACACACACACACACACACACACACACACACACACACGACCCACACCACACACCACACACACCACACACACCACACACACCACACACACCACACACACACACACACACACACACACACACACGACCCACACCACACACCACACACACCACACACCACACACACCACACACACCACACACACCACACACACCACACACACCACACACCACACACACCACACACACCACACACCACACACACACCACACACACCACACACACCACACACACCACACACACCACACACACCACACACACCACACACACCACACACACCACACACACCACACACACCACACACACCACACACACCACACACACCACACACACCACACACACCACACACACCACACACACACACACACACACACACACACGACCCACACCACACACCACACACACCACACACCACACACCACACACACACACACACACACACACACGACCCACACCACACACCACACACACCACACACACCACACACACCACACACACCACACACCACACACACCACACACACCACACACACCACACACACCACACACACCACACACACCACATACACCACACACACCACACACCACACACACCACACACACCACACACCACACACACCACACACACCACACACACCACACACACCACACACACCACACACACCACACACACCACACACACCACACACACCACACACACCACACACACCACACACACCACACACACCACACACACCACACACACCACACACACCACACACACCACACACACCACACACACCACACACACCACACACACCACACACACCACACACACCACACACACCACACACACACACACACACACACACACACACACGACCCACACCACACACCACACACACCACACACACCACACACACACACACACACACACACACACGACCCACACCACACACCACACACACCACACACACCACACACACCACACACACCACACACCACACACCACACACACCACACACACCACACACACCACACACCACACACACCACACACACCACACACACCACACACACACACACACACACACGACCCACACCACACACCACACACACCACACACACCACACACACCACACACACCACACACACCACACACACCACACACACCACACACACCACACACACCACACACACCACACACACCACACACACCACACACACCACACACACCACACACCACACACACCACACACACCACACACACCACACACACCACACACACCACACACACCACACACACCACACACACCACACACACCACACACACACACACACACACACACACACACACACACGACCCACACCACACACCACACACACCACACACACCACACACACCACACACACACACACACACACACACACACACGACCCACACCACACACCACACACACCACACACACCACACACACCACACACACACACACACACACACACGACCCACACCACACACCACACACACACCACACACACCTCACACACCACAAACATCACACACACCACACACACCACACACACACCGCCCACACCACACACACCACACACATGCCACACACACACCACCCACACCACACACACCGCCCACACCACACCCACCACACACAACACACACATCACACACACCACACACACCTCACACACCACACACCACACACACCACACACACCACACACACCACACACACCACACACACACACACCACACACACCACACACACCACACACACCACACACACCACACACACCACACACACACACACACACACACACACACGACCCACACCACACACCACACACACACCACACACACCACACACACCACACACACCACACACACCACCGACACCACACACCACACACACCACACACACCACACACACCACACACACACACACACACACACCACACACACCACACACACACACACACACACACACACACACGACCCACACCACACACCACACACACACCACACACACCACACACACCACACACACCACACACACACACGACCCACACCACACACCACACACACACACCACACACACCACACACACCACACACACCACACACACCACCGACACCACAAACATCACACACACCACACACACCACACACACACCGCCCACACCACACACACCACACACATGCCACACACACCACCCACACCACACACACCGCCCACACCACACCAACCACACACAACACACACATCACACACACACCACACACACCACGCACACCATCCACACTACACACACCACACACACCACACACCCACCACACACGAAACTCACACCACACACACCTCACACACCACACGCACCACACACACCACACACACACCACACACACCACACACACACCACACACACCACATTAACTACAACACACAGCAGCTTGCGGTTAGGAGGGTGCTGGCCAGCGAAGTGAGAGGCTACAGAGAGAGCAGGATCTTGGCGGAGCCAAGAGGATAGTCACGTCCAAGGGACGAAGACCGAGAGCCCTGAGTAGCCGGAAACGAGCATGGCCAACACCCCTTTATTTACTTTATCAAAGTAAATGAGAGATGAGAAATGGGAAGTGGGTGGGTGAACCACAATGAACTGACAAGAGTGATCCGCACTCAGAACGAATCGAAATATATAACACTACGAGCAAGGAAGAATGATCCTCGCACAGAACGGATCGAAAATATATAGCAGAGCAAACTCTAGCAAGACATGCAATGATGCATGCCACCCACGTTGAGTTACAAGCAAGCGCCATCATAACACCGCCAAACCCACCCACGTTAAGTTACGAGCAAGCGTCATCATAACGCCGCCACACGCCTTCCACATCGGAGGCGAGCGACACGCATGAATGCCAAACTTTAGTATGACACGTTGAGTGCCTACGACGCATGCCACCTACGTTGAGCGTCGCGCATGAATGAATGTCGCGTTGAGTGTCACGTTGTATGACACATAGAATGCCACGATGCATAGAGTACCATGTGAGCACGTACAGCGCACGTTCATAGCAGCATAGTTTGAGTGGTAGCACGAAGCAGCCGCGTGCACCCATTAATCTGCATTATTACTATAATGCTACATTAACTACAACACACAGCAGCTTGCGGTTAGGAGGGTGCTGGCCAGCGAAGTGAGAGGCTACAGAGAGAGCAGGATCTTGGCGGAGCCAAGAGGATAGTCACGTCCAAGGGACGAAGACCGAGAGCCCTGAGTAGCCGGAAATGAGCATGGCCCATTGTGGCCAGCAAGCCTCATACCGAAGCAGCCGTGAGCGGGGTTAAAGACATAGACACTGCCGGAGCAGGATCTTGGCGGAGCCAAGAGAGAGGTCAGAGAGAGGTCACTGCCGGAGCAGGAGGGATCACTGCCAGAGCAGGATCTTGGCGGGTAACCACCAGCCACGGTGGGCCACCGGGTAGTTGAGATGGTGGTGGAGCTGAACGTGTCCGAGAACGTCTTGGAATTGCCGGTGGCAATCGTGCACGTTGCCCCGCTGTAGCCACTGTCACATTGACAGCCTTGCTAGCGTTGGGCCTTCGACTGCTTGAGTGTGGCAATGATTCATGTCTCATTGATATGGAGACGAGGCAAGGAAATAGAAAGGCAGATAGACACAGAAACAGACAGAAAAGCAGACAAACAGACAAACACACAAACAGACAGAGGATTCAGGGTCAGCCGGGTAGACACTGCCGAAGCAGAATGTTGGCGGAGCCAAGTATCTACAAGAGTCTGCGTCCGAGGGACGGCGACCTAAGGCCCTGAGTAAAGAGAGGGGTCACTGCCGGAGCAGGATCTTGGCAGGGCCAAGAAAGAGGTCAGACAAGAGTAAGACGTAGACACTGCCGGAGCAGAATGTTGGCGGAGCCAAGTATCTACGAGAGAGGATTAAGGGTCGGCCGGGTAGACACTGCCGAAGCAGAATGTTGGCGGAGCCAAGTATCTACAAGAGTCTGCGTCCGAGGGACGGCGACCGAGGGCCCTGAGTAAAGAGAGGGGTCACTGCCGGAGCAGGATCTTGGCAGGGCCAAGAGAGAGGTCAGACAAGAGTAATACGTAGACACTGCCGGAGCAGAATGTTGGCGGAGCCAAGTATCTACGAGAGAGGATTCAGGGTCGGCCGGGTAGACACTGCCAAAGCAGAATGTTGGCGGAGCCAAGTACTCTTGACATTATCAACAGTGAAACCCGTGCAAATTCGAGTAAACCAGCGTGACGAAAAGTCTCAAAATTCTCAATACTAAAGTCGCACTGCGCGCTTTTCAAATTGCCGCGATCGCGGCTCAACTTACGAGTGATTTATCTCAGGAACCGTTGCTCGCAGCGCTTCGCGGATTGTTTCTCCCGACAGGTGAGAGTTTTCTCTTCGCCCTGGATATTTCGATCACTGGATTTGAGCGAGATTGGACTGAGTTACGGTCTTTTGAAGTTTTGCATTTGAATGCGTCGTTTACGACGCATTCAAGTATGGGCGGCTCTTAAAGGGTTATTTATTATTCTCAGGTTGTATGTTGATACCGCATTATGATTCGCAATTGATTCGTGTCTCATAATAATATTATGGCAATGAAGGCTCCAAATAAAATGAATGTCATCCGTACATTTGCCCATGTACACAACTTCACAGGCAGTTACAATCGTACATGGTCCTCCTAGTGCTACATGTATTTTGATACATGTACGCAAATCAACTGCAGATCGATGTGATTCAAGCAATGCAAGGACAGAGTAGTTTAGCAAAACTTCCGTGATCTCGCGCAATCCTATTTGCTATGTTCGCAGAGAACTGGTACTCTTCGCATTCAGAAGAATCAGATGTTCGCACCCAAAGCTAGCTGGGGTGCCTGACACAGCTGATGTGCTGCTGGCCAGCTAGCTGTTAGTGCTAGCTCGCTGAACTCGTGAAACGAATCTTCACAAATCCGTAATCTTGTATGCAATATTTCGAACTACTTTCCAACTAAGCCAAGCTCGTCGATTGAAGGAACAAACTACAACCATGAGTATCATAGCTACCACCTACGGACCTCACCGTGTATGACACTCCGACTGGTCACTCAGCCTGGTGACACTAGTTCATCTTCAAGTACTGTGGCAGGTTCGATGTCGGAGAACCATCGTAACTTTCTAGCAACTTAGCTGCTTAGTTTAAAGTCTTGCATTTTCTCACATCACGATCAAGAACCTTCAGTACGAGGATTTTTACTTGCACTAGAGTGGAGAGAACGACTGTCTTTCAGCCTGCTCCTGCCTGACAAAGTCGAAAGCGGGAATGCAAAGGAAAAGAGTATCCGCACTCCTATATTGAGTCTTGACATACGATAATAATATTATAGGATCATCGAAATCCCACTTTTTTCTTTCTTTTTTTACAAACGGGTAAACGTGATTTCTTCATTCCTCTTGCAGTAAAATCCAAAAACTACACGCAAAAATTCAGTCACTTTTGCATCAACTGTTGCAACGAAAAATGTTGGTGGCGCAAGGAGAAGCTTGTCGTTTGGAGTGACAAGTGATCACCGCTGCTTTTCCTTGTCAGAGTCAACAATACACTTTGTTCTGCAGCGTTGGGAGTGGTGTTGGAGTAGAAATTGCTGACTA